TTGCAAGTAATTGCCAAATTAACTACAGTACTGTCAACTGACAAAATATTTCAGTTTCAGTCAGACAAAAAGCAAATTATGTAATAAAAACATATGTAACTGAAGTTCGACAAATTAAATTAAGCAATTTAATTTTTTTGTCATATTGAATACTAATAAAAAAACAAATATAAAATGAAATACAGTTAGCTCTCACTTATGCTCCACCTCTTTTATGCACCTTTTTCATTTATACAACGATTTTTATGGATCCCAGTACATTAGGTAGGAAAATAATGATAATCATCCTTCGTTTATGCGTCGCTCTAAAAATAAATTTTTCAATTATGCGCCAAAATTTTAGGCTAACATTTAAAAAAAAATTTCTCTAATTTTTTTTTCTTTAAAAAAAAAAGTTTTAGATTAAAAGTTGAAACAAATAAGCAATCCTTGTTACAGATAAATATGCTGTTAGATCCTATTGAATAGTTCACTTTTCTTTTTCCTGTGACCTTCTAATTTTTACAGTTTCTATAAAGACATGCTTTCCACAACTTTGAATAGGGTGCCTTATCTGTTACACCAACAACAGTGTAAGCCCATTTATTTTTGAGAAAATAACCCTTCCTCTTGCCCCAGAGGTTAATTTTAATACCGTGTGCTGTTTCCTAGAAGAAAAAAAAGACACCTGACCAAAATCGCGGTTTAATATTTTACGGTAAAAATGAACTTTAGGTAGATATAGATTTTACGAATAATGCACCCAAATTGCCGGTATTTTAGTCAGAAAATTTTACAGTTTAACTTTTCTTCATATTGACGATTTGCATCAGAATTAGCATAAGACAACTCTAGCTAAAGAAGGTAGGTATTTTATTTACGTCACACTAGAGCACCATAATGGGCTATTGGCGACGGTCTGGGAAACATCCCCTAGGATGATCCGAAGACACGCTATCACCATTTTGATCCTCTGCAGAGGGGATGACTCTTTCGCTTTGGTAGCCCGATGACCTGCTCTCAAAGTCGAGGATTTTACAGTAGAACAGTTTAAATAGGACAGATACCACACACCATCGGTTTCTACGCAGTCTGATAAAAGTGGTCACCCACCCGCTTACTGACCACAGCTAGTGATACTTGACTTTGATATTCTACTGGGAACCGTGTCTTTACGATCAGTCCACTGCAGGAAGCATAAATTTCTAAAACAGAATAAAATTTGGTACTTTATTTACGTCGCACTAGAGCAGCACAATGGGCTATTGGCATTTATCACCCTGCAGAGGGGATGGCTCCTCCGCTTTGGTATCCCGAAGACCTGCTCTTGAAATTGAGCACGTTTCGGTAGAGCAGTTTAACGATTACCGATACCGCGCACCCTCGGTCCCTACGCAGCAAAAGGGATAAAGTTGATCAAACAGTCATTATTAACTGTGGTAAACTACTGCGTTTACGAATTCAGTATTTAATATAGTTAATTATTATTAATTCAGTAAATAGATTTATTATTTACTGAATTATTAATTATTACTTTATTAATTATTATTAATCGGTAAAAAGAAAGTAATTTTGAATTATACGTATTAGTTTCCTTAGCTTATACTCAAATAAAATACATTATCAAAATATCCAAGAAAAGTTTTTCATAATAAACTTAAAAAATTCAAGTAATTTTACACTAAAAACCATCAAATGACTTACACCACTTTGAACGTTATCGCATCAAATCCCGTATTCATTGTTAAAGTCTTGATATTTATTTTTTGGTCGGTACTTACAGTTTGTGTTCTCTGTTTCCAAGTAACCATAGAATTCTCTCCACTAGTTCAATTTTTATTTTATTATTTTAATGTTTCCTCTTTTTCGTATAAGAAAATAAAACTCAAATAGAAACCTAAAGATAGTTTTCGCCTTTATTTGACAAGGGAGCGATTTCCAAATATGGTTTTTTTTTCAGTTCAAAAGAAGGAAACTGTAGTCTATTTTTTTTTGCTTCTATGTTTTTCTAATTTGTAAAAAAAAATGTAATTTACACTTGAAAAAGACGTGGAAGAAAAAGGAAATTTATTTTGTGTACATAACTTTTTTTCCAAACTTGTGTTTAAAGAATCTTTTTTCAAGCTATATAAAATATTTATCTATGCCATTTTATTTTTCAAACAGATATTTCTAGAAAGCAGGAAAAACGTGAGTAAGAAAAGGTTATTACACTTTTTACAAACATTTTAAAGAAATTGTACTAAAAATGGTAAAAAAAAAAGTTAAAGAAATCCAATCAATATTTATTTGCTTTTTTCAATTAAACAAATTTTTCAGTTATAAGATAATTTAGTTTCAATTCTAGAGCATTCAAAAATTATGTTACTTAAATTTTTCAAGTAGTTACATTCATTATTGATTCGCAATGTGTTTTCTACAAATTGATTAACATTTCATATCACATGGTGTAAAAAGACTTATTTATATTTTAGAAATATTCAACTTCTGTAATATATTCTGAAGAATTCTCATGTTTCTAAAACCTATTAGGTATATTTTACAAAATGTTTTGCCTTTATTTATTTTTCAAAAGGATTATTTTTAGAAACATTTAAATTCTATTGCCTTTTTTCACTTAATATTTGCTAAAAATAATTAAATGAAATGAAAAAATAACAATAAAAATTGAGTGTATCACAGTAAATTGGTCCTTGCAAGATCATTCCTACATGCTATACAGGGTGACATGAAAAAACGGAAGTTTTTGAAATGCGCACGGACAGCCATGAGCAGGTGGCAGCACTGCAGGATAGTGACCTTGAGCAAGTAAATACTTTGCCATTTGAGTAACCATGGGTGGACCGGGCAAACGCGTTCGTTAGCCATACAAATGCTTTATAAAACCAAGGATAGTTTGGAAGCTTCGCAGAGGGAGTTCCGACGTTTTTGCAGGTTTTTAAAATGCCATGTCTCATCAGAACAATACATGGCAATACTTTTACTTTCGTTACTTGTAACGAAAGTAAAAATAAAAAGGACGCATTCTTATTTATACTTCGTTACATTTTAATTTTAGTGCTTTTACTTGTTCTTTTTTTTCTGAGTATTATATTCTTTAACAGCTAACTTCTTTTTCTAAACATCTTTAAGGATTGCAATTTTCAGAAAGGGAGAGAGCGGCTGGTGGGAGGGAACGTGAAACCCTCATTTAAATGGATTTTACCTGCATATGAATAAAAAAATCTTTAATTATCTCTTTAAGCAAAAATTATAATGTTATCGAATTTGTTCAATGAATTAACTTGTTACTAAAAATTCTGAAAGTAAAAACAAAATTTTTAAAGATTGAATATTTTTAAAATGAACATAATTTAAAATATTTTTTATAGGAATTTTAAATTATTATAATTAGGAACATTGAATTTTGATTTATCGTTTGGTTTCTTCTACGGTCACTATTTCAAGAGAAAATTTGTAACATTTTCCTGCATTTTATAGTTTAATACCTTTACATTAAAATTCAATGCATAATAAAAAAAAATTTCTTACATTTTTTAAGAGAATTTACGATTACTTTGAATTTTCGTTTTACTCGAAATGTACTCTAAAAATCGTTACCTTTTTACTTTGTTCTTATACTCGTTACTTTTTAAAATAATTTTTTTTTACTCGCTACTCTTGCTTAAAGTACTTGTGCTCTCGTTACTTTTAAAAAGTAACGTTCGTATGGATAATCAGAACTCGCGATAAAAAAGCTGGATAAATAACTTTGAAAAAACTGGATCAGACCTAAAGAAGGAACCAACAAGACTACCAAGAAGTGTTCACTGAGATAGTGCAGTGGTCAATGAGGAATCTCAACAGTTGATTTCAAGAATGCATTCATACAAGAGAACGCCATCTAACCGATGTAATTTAGTAAAAAATAAATTCCATTTATGTTTCTTAAATTGACAAATGTTAAGGTTACAATTATTATGAATAAAACGTTTTACTCCTATCACTCAGGATTTTATGGGATTGTTTAAAAGTACCTGCGTTTTTTTGTGTCCTGTACTTTTGTTTACAATACAAGCGGTGAAATTACGCGGAAAAAGAACATTTTGCTAGCGCTTTAACAATTTAAAATTTTAGTTCTTTTAAATACTTTTCCCGTTGTAAACTTGAAGAAAAACTGCTTTAATTTTAGACAAAAATATTGATTTTTTTTTTTTTTACATATAAACCTTTGTTTTTAGAAGGTTGCAATTTTTTTTTTCCTTTTCAAAATGTCTCAAACGATATTTTGTGTAACACATAAAATTGTATTTTGTAGGGTTTTATAATTAATAAGCAGTTAGAAATAAATTCAGTCATGGATCATTTCCGATGGCTTTTTTCTGCTACCTACAAGAGTTTTTTTTTCTTTTTTTTAAAAAAAAAAATATTTAACCGTAACGTATTTCGAGTATTAAATTTTTAACAATTCATTATTTCTTTACCTCTTTCTGATCTTTTCATGTGAAAAACGTAAATATGATTTTTAAATTAATACCAGCTTTATTTAGATTAAGATACACGTTATATAATAATATAAGATCATTCTATTAAAATTCAGGAGTTTTAGCTATTTGAGTAGCAGCGCGAACTTTAAATTTCCAAAATCAACATTAACTATTTCGAAGATTTTGTTATATTGAAACCTATTCCTTAATTTCTAAAAAAAATTATTTTATTTATTATTTAATCATTTTTAAAAATAATGAATTTTATGAAAACGGATCTTTCAATTTGTCTGCAAGAAACAAAAGAAGTGTTTATAATGCCACTAAGTCACAAAATTACAAACGAGATTATTAAATACACAAATAGTTGACGCATAACTAAGTATAAAACTTACTAAAAGTTTCGATTGTCAATATTACCCATTTATACGATCCTTATGAGAAAGATGTTTAATTAAACACTAAGTAAATTAAAAACCTTAAATAAACAGACATCTGATACTTAAAGCTCTGAATATAGTTATATTACAGTTCTGAATAATTATGTTTATATGTTTACGAACCTCCTGTTTGTAAACATAAGTCTAATAAAATAAAAAGGTTATTTATTTATGAATAAACTAATCGTATTAGTTTCAAATTTATCTTTGCCACTTCAGAATGTGTAAATATATATCATTAGATTATTTTATTCAGATTAATTGAAATTTAATTAGCAAACATTATTTTAATAAAATAGTTCTTTAATAGTTTCTGTACAAAAATCTTTTAATCCAAATGACAATGGAAATAGTGGAATGATGGAAAACATAAATAATAGAACTTCAAATATTAGAAAACATTGAACAATAAACAAAATAGTTTAGCAATATGTGAAGAAAATTTATGTCGCAATCGTTATACACATGCAGTAAATATATAGTTTAACAATAATAATTAATGTTACGAAGGGTCTTCTGTAAATGGGTCCCTTAAAACATTTTTTTAAAAAATCCCGTTAAAAATGAAGACCAAAATAGGCACATTAAGGGTCTTAAATTTAGTATTTAAATTAGAACTGTTTTCAATGTATGACCGGGCGTTATTCTTAACAGCTAAGAAGGGTTTAAAATCATCAAAACTAGCTTATATAAGGATTAAATTTAAAGGTAGTTGTCATAAGCGAATGCATTTCGCTTCAACTAGACACGTGAATTGTTTTTGTGGATTTTAACCCTTTCCTTGTTCGCTCCTTCTTCGAGAAGTGTTTGAAATGTTTAGCGGTACATTTTGTTTCATTTCAAACGTAATTCAGGGTGCGTAGCCAAATCTCTCAACAGAAATAAGCATCCTTTAAGTGCTTTTTAAGCACTCAAAAAAATATTTTTTAAACACAATATACATTAACAAAAGGCAAAATAATTTTCCGAAACTTTACATGATCATGATAAAATAACTAGTTTCTGACGAAGATCTCATTTCTTGATTACATTAGCCACCATAAAAAGATAAGGAGATTTTTCAGTTCAATTTCAGAGAGTGGAAAACGAAGCCTCAAGTTGAGAATATATTGCAAAATACATCAGTGTTGCTCATGAGAGTGCAAGAGTCTCACCGAACACAGCTCAGTAGTCACTCCCAAATATCTCATCAAACATGTAACGTGATTGCAGTATCATACGTTACGGACCAGCGGCACGCCGAAATGAAAACGTTGCATAGAACAATGTGAAAACCAAGCTTTTGCATAATACGCAGAGAAAAACGACATGGTAAAGAAAAAAATCTCATTTTCGAAAAGGGAAAAGGTAGCACTTTTTTAAAACACTTTTAAGGGCTTCTAAAAAACAAAAATCGAAAATAAGCACTTTTTAAAAACGCTACGCACCATGCAATTACAGTCATTTTTTCACTTTAATACTAGTTCGTGACTCATAGTTTCAGTCATTATTTATCAAAAATGTTCACTTTATAATTAAAGTTTTTTTCATATTCTTTTCGGCATTAAAGTTTTTATCGTTAAATCAGTTTAATTTTAATTCAACGTTTTGCAATATTGTAGCAAACGATACACAGTTCCTCAAAAACGTAAACTTTGTAAATAGAATAAACAAATTAAAATCTCCTTACCTTTCACAGCAGCTTCAATCATATCCAAATTTTCAACAGTCATTCTCAAAAGGCTAAAATTCAATCGAAATACTCCATCTTCCAATGCGTTCACTAAAAATATCCTTGTGTCTTTTTCTTTTACGTTACTTTGGCATATTCTCTTGTTCCCAAAACCTTTTATCACTACGGCATTATTCAGAATGGCTTTGTCACCTTTTATCACTCTCTTGACGAGAATTACGGCATTGTAATCCAGCAATATATACGGACTAATTCGGTAGATACGTTGAACAGTACCCGTGAACACGGAATCCACCCTATCCTCACGTTCAGATAGTGAAAATTTTTCTTCGCACTTTGCTAATCTCTTGCAATTTGTTGCAATAAACAATGTGGCAATGATAACAGTCATCATGATTAGTTTCGTCGTAATGACTTTTAACCACATTTTCAAAATCTTGTACCAACTACAGTTAGTTTATTATAGTATCTGATGAAAATATTTTAATTTAGAATGCATAATTCCAACATCAAATTCCTTGTCTGAGCCGTGTTATGTCATTAAAAAAATAATAAAGGATTATGTTTATTCTCAAAACAAAATTCTGCCAGTTTTGAATCAAACCGTAAATTGGTTTAGAATTTAATTTTAATTTGAATGTTCAGAAATGAAATCAAATTTCAAATAAAGGTTAACTTCTCAGCCTTATGTTCAATAAAACATATAACTTATATAAAATATATAATCACACTTTACATTGGCCAGTATTAACTTGCTTCTGACTTCAAAGATTTAACATCTCTTTATCACAGTGTAGTTGGTAATTAAATTAAAATCAATATGTTTCAGAATTTAATCACACTTTGCAGCCATTGTTTTTAATTTCATAGATTTTCAGCTCTAAACCAATTGGTTAATAATAGTTGTTCTTTGTTTTATAAAATGTTTCTCTTAAACTGTAATCAAGCTTAGATTGGCGCTCATATGCCTCTAACTCCAATGTTACATCAGCTCAAAATCAAAATGCATTCATGAGTTATTTTTTATCTTAGTTTATTAAAATAATTGAAATTTCATAATATAATTAGAACTTATTTTGGCATTGCTTTCTGAATGTTCTATCATGAATTTTCTTTTTAGCTCTAAATGAAAATTCCTTGATTTTTGCTCACTAAAATCAAGGTTTTAATGAAAACTAACTTTTATTCGACGTAAAATTTTTGTGACTAAATCTAAAAATTTGTCAGCACTATACAATGGATAACAAACGTTTAATTAAATATATGTACCTTTCAAATATTCTTTCAAATATTCTTTCTACAAATGTACCTTTCAAATATTCTTTCTGTTAAAATTGGCAATTTTCAGTCATGATTTTCGAAGTTTAATCACTTTTAATCAAACTAAATTTAAATATTTTACTTCTTTTTTCACTACAATTCAAATAACTTACATTGACAAACATTTCTTAGACACAAATTTCAGTGCTTCTGGCTCTAATTGAAGCATTAAATTTTGGCTGTTCTTAGTTTAATAACCGTATAAAGCCATTAGTACATCGATATTGCTTAATAATTTAGATTAAGTCTCTGATCCTTAAGGTGAAAGATGCTTCTTGCTTATGCTAATTGCTTCTTGCTAATTTTTTTCTTCTTTTTATATCTTATATATTTTTTCTTTTTTTCTATTCAAAATAATCATCTTCATGTATTCCAAAATTAATAATAATAATGCTATAAATTGCAAAAAAAAACGTTTTTTTCCTCGCTTTTTCTTAAAATCGTAGAATAAAACGACGTTTTAATTCTAAATCATAGGGAATTCCAATTCAAATTTTTTAATTCTTATCCCATATTTCACAAACTAAATTAGCTTTTCTTTTTAAAAAAATTTTTTTAAGGTAAAACTATGTTTAAATTCTAATAAATACTGAATTCAACGATGGAACATTTTTACTACAAAATTCACAGTAAACCACTTCTTTCACTACTTCTTAATAAAACTACGTTTCAATTTCGATACTGAATACTATCTAAAAAATTTTACTTCGTAACTCACAGTAAAACCACATTTCTCTTACCGCCTTTTTACAATTTCTTACTCAATCCAAGTTCGAATTTTAATAGCGTTTAGTGTCTAAAAAATGTTCACTTCATAATTTACTGCAAAACCGCTTTTCTCTCTGTCCACATTTTATTTTAACTCCAATAGCTATTGAATTCAAAGATTAAAAAGAAAAAAAAAAAGTTCTTACCATGCAAATGTTTTCCCCAATTAGTTATCCACGTTTTAACACCACCTCAGCTCATTTATAAAGCCAATAAAAATAAGCAAGAGAATATTATTTTTTTCAGCATCACGTGATACTGGAATAAAATGATTGGGTGGTAAAGGAATACAGTCAAAGTAAATGATACTCTTTGCTTGCGTATACAATACGTTGTTGTGCTCAGAAAAGATGGAAATTCATAGAAAGCGTTTCCCACGTCCATGAAGGGTGCGGGCTGTATTATGCTGATATTTTATAGCCCGATAGGTCACGGGGCAAAGGAATGTAGGCGGGGGGGGGAGAGAAGTGAATGATAAGGTAGGAGTATATCTAAATGGTTTCGGTTTACAAGGCTGCTTACAATCTTAAGTAAGTGCACTTGAAGTATGGTAAACCTAAAAAGAAAATTTCTTTGAAATTGTGTATGTGACCGAAATCAAGAGAATGTCGACTTTTACCAGTGAATGTCAACAATCACATAGTCGCTTTGGTGAATGTCCGAAATATTTGTTATATGCGATTTGATATTAATTTATTCGATGATATTATTATATTTATTCTATATTTTAATATCTGCTGAGGATAGATGAGGAGAAACATCAGCGTTCGGAGTACCGGACAAATGTATGCCGGGCAGTGGCACTTTACTACTAGACCTAGTATATATTTCGGACATTTACCAAAGCGATTATGTGATTGTCAACATTCACCGGTGTAAGTCAACAACCACCTATTTCGTTCATTCGCAGTAACATATATAATTTTGTTTTTAAATTTCTGATAAAGGTCTCAAAAGTAGAGATTAAGGGTAGTCTTTGTGGAATACCCTGCTTTAAGGCTTTATCAAACTTTCAGCAAAATTGTACCTTTTACACCAGTGAAATGCTTCAAAAAAGGAACAAAACAATGACAGAGTAATTAAAAGGGTAAGACTGATTAACTGGGCAGTGGAACTTAACTTTAAGAAAACATCTACGTAGGGTATACCGGGCAGTGGTACTTAACTAGACCTATCATATATTTTGAACATTTACCAAAACAACTTTGTGATTGTCCACTATCACCAATTTCGGTCATTCACAGAAACATATATAAACTTTAGCTAGAAAAAATGTATGTAATAGCTTTCTAATTGCTTTTTGTATTATAAATAATAAAATTATTTCATGCATTATGACACTTTTTGTTTTTGTTGCTCATAACTAGCTAAAAAGCACTAGTTTTATCAATAGGTCTACAGTTTACATCACCTAATTAAGAACACGATATTACTAATAACATGAGTAAAAACCAGGTTTTGCCAACCTTTTTGGAATGAATATAAAAACCATTGCATCCGCCACTTTTAATTTTTAAAAGATATTAAGAACTATAAAAAGATGAAAAATAGACTAGGTTTTTATGTAAACTTCACTTTTTTCACTGCACTAAATTAAAAAGTAATGCAATCAGTAGAAACTTATAAAATTTAGGTTTTAATGCAAGAACTAGAGATACACAAGTATAAATTTAGGTTTTATTTTTCGTAATGATTTTTAAAGGTCAACTTGTTAGTTCATGTAGAAATAAAGTTAATAACTTGAAACTATTATACATAATTAGGAAACAGTAAATTCGTAATTGATATGGCTTTTAAATTCGTAATGAGTAGTGTTTAGATTTGTGGTTCATAAGAACCATATAGTAATTTAAATTTTTCCTAAAAGTGTTCAATAAGTCATCACGTTCCAGTGTTAAACTTTTTATTTTATAATTTATAAACGTCGTTGAACAGTTTTGAACCTAATCCAGAAGACAAAGGAACTCCCGGATCAAGTATTGGGAGAAATGTGCCGTCGTGGAGAACTCCTTGATGGAACTAACACGCGCTTGCGTTACACGGAGAGGAAACCCTCGAAAACCTTTCCACGGTCAGCCCGATGACAAGAGGACTCTAACCCATGATCCATCTACCAGTGAGGATATTTTTACGTTAGCACTGTGGTCTGTACAAGCCGGATGAGGAATTCGAATCGATCAACCATCGCTGAGATTCGAACCCAGTTCACTTCATTGGAAGGCGAACGCTCTATCCCCTGAGCCATTACGGCTCAAGAAAATGAAATTGATGTATTCGGTCAATAAATCACAATGCAACTCGTTCCATAAATCACTAGATAAGGAGCACAAATTTTATTAGTAGTTACATTGGCATTTTTCCTATGCATCTACTTTGTTGAAGTGCGTAAAAAATATCATTAAAAAGGAAGGGAAAAAAACCTAATCAAAACAATCAATCAAAAAGCAGTCGTGAAACTCGAGTTATTTTGAATAAAAAAGTCCTATTAATAATAAATAATAAGTATTATGAAAATATAATAAAAAAATAATGCTATAAACAATAAAATATGAAGCTAAAATTAATTTTCTGAAATTCACTTCGTGCGTTATTTAAATAGCATTAAATTCTATATGTTTCTCATTAATCTAAAATTTTGAAGAGCTAGTATACAAATTGATTTTAATTCAAAATAAATAATTGGATTTTTTGGAGCAACCTCCTTATTAGGATAATTAGTTTATTTTAGTTAGCTTATTGTTATTAAGAAAACAAGAGGGGAAAAAAACTGAATCCAATTAAAATATTTTATTTGAAAAGGTTTTATTTAAAAACTATCTGTTTATATTTGTTATAGCATTCATGATCAATATAAAGAAATATTCTTTGTAAATTAATTGAGTCTTTTGGCAAAAGGGCACTGTTTTGAAGTTAAGGAAATCAATGGTTTAAAAGTTGTTATTTTTTTCTAATCGGACGAAAATGAAACTAAAATATTTACTTTATCAGTCTTATTATATATACAAGTGTATCGTTAAAATAATAAATTAAATCTTAAAATATTTATATAATCTGTTATATTTTGAAACTTGTATTTGAATAATTATTATAGAAGTTTTTTTATCATATTCAAGCTTGTTATTCGAGTAGTAATATCGATATTTGTTATTAAAATTTAGTTTTCAGCAAACATTTCGGAAGCTTTTATTTATAAAATATTCCTCTTTACTGAGAGTTAACTAATATGTTTACAGGCATTTATATGCTACAATGAAAACTTTAAGACCGAATCTACCTATTTTTTTTTAAATAATAAAAATAAAT